CACAAAGTCAGATACTAATGATGTTTGCCAAACTTGTAATCATTTAGAAAGTATTTACCATGTTCAAGAACTGCAACATTTAATACTAATGTTAGCCAGTTGAATGCATTTTCACCAATTAAAAATCATATCAATGAATTGTTTAACTATGCTCACCCACATCAATATGGTGGACTTACAACAGAAACATTAAATACAATCCTTATCAACCTTTTAATAATAAAAAAAGAAGTGGATCAAAACTAGTTTCAATGAGTCTAGCAACAAACATAAGAATATTTGTTTCATGATAATTTGTATATACAATGTATTAAAACCACCAAAGTTTCCTCGAGCTGGTACAGAATAGTAAGTATTGTTGGCAGCAGATGTTTTAAAAATTAATTAAACATACTTACACAAGTGTTTCTTATAGTTATAAAATTTAATTAATATTAAACTAAATTTTATTAAGGAAATTTTTTTTCCTGGTGAAACCAGTACAATCATTGAATCTGAATTTGAAACACTGGAAAATTTTTTTGGGCATTTTACAAACCTGCTGGTGCTAACCTTTTCCCCCTTCAACCAGGATTAAATGGTTGTACTTTACAAGTGCTAACAAAGTATATAAGCCTTTTTTTATTTTCTATAAAATTGATAAGTGAATTAAAGGAAAATACTAAATTATTAAATTATTTTAGAGTAGCTGGTTCTAATAAAAAATTGTACACTGGTCCAACTAACAAACCAATTGATATTAATTCTTTGCTATTAAATCAGCAAGTTAATTCAAACAACATTATAAAAACAACAACCCCTCTTTGAATGATGTAGGATCTTCTAGTTCTAAGCAGGATTTAAAAAGAAGATTTAGAATGAGAGGCCCAAAACCAAAAAAATAAAAAACAGAACTATTTAATTTATTAAAAAAGGAATGGTTTAGTACTATCCTGGGGAGAATTAATAGATTAATAGATAGTATGCCATGAAGAGTGGATGCTGTTTTAAAAAATAAAGGAAACCTGACAAGATGTTGATTTTTTTTTTAATAAAATAAAATCAATTTAAAACAGTTTCATATATTTTTTGATGCCTTTTATGTTTCAAATTGGTGAGCAGTTTGAGGTTGAATTGTTTCATAAAATTTTCTATGTTTTATTTTTTTTTCTTGTTAATTAATTTACCAAATTCTCTAGAATATTAGAATTAACTAGATTTAAACATGAGATGCATTTTTCACTTATACCACAAAGATCATTAGAACTTGCCATTGTGGTCAATCTTTTAGTTAAAGATTTTTTTGAAAATTCTGAAAAATTCATTTTTATTTTTTAAAGTTCGTAAAACAACAAGTTGTTGTTTATATGCCACGAAACTTCACTATATTATACACTCCAAAAACAAAAAAAGTAATTATTTACATGCACTTTTGATAGAGTTTTTATGGCTGCTGGCCTTGACCCAAAGATCACAAAGACTTGATGCTTATACATTAAAACAAAATTCTTTCAAATAAATATATTTGTTTGATAACTATTCTGATCTAATTTTGATTAATTGGTAAATTTTTCTAATAATATATATATATATATATATATATTTATGTGTATAACAACAATTTACTATTTATTTAAATGTATTATTTTATACTAGATTGTTTAAATCACTAATCATTTTGAATTATTAACTTTTGAAATTTCAGTTTTCCTAATATTCAAATAAAGGTCATAAATAGTTAATAAACACAATTTCGACTTTTTATACTTCTCACAATAATAATATAATAATATTAATTCATTCTACCTTGGACGGCCAGGTCTTCTTCCACTAGGACTTGATACACGTGATGCAACATTAGGTGATCCATTATTGTTTGTGATAGATGATGCAGTAGAAGATGGTGATAGATAATGTTGACCAGTATGATGAGCTAGATGATGATGATGATTATAATGACTACTATTTGATGAAAGATTTATAAAATCTTTATCAACTAAAAGATTATGATGATGATGTTGAAGTGATGATGAAGGTGAAGATGACATCAATAGTGATGAAGAGGATGGTGATGACAATAGTTTATAATGATTGTGATTGCTGCTACCATTGTTATTGTTGTTGTTACTATAATTTAATTTATTTTCACTGTATGTTCCACAAGTGGTTATTAGCCAATTAGTGAATAAGATGAATTAAAAAAAAAAAAACTAAAAGAGGAATATAAAATATATATGTACGCTTCGGCATCATGTTCAGTATACCCAGAAAAATATTTCTTTGAATTTTTACTGACATGGTACATTCGAGTAGTTGGATCATAATATGGCCCCCGTTGTTTTCTTGCCCATATTAGTAAAGTATTCCTTTATATCGAATGTATGTATGTATGTATGTATGTACGGTGCATAGTGTGTATAATCGAGATAAGATCAAATATTAAGTAATTAAATTCAAATAATCAATGAATAATGTTAACTATTATTGTTAATAATATAATAAAGTTAATTACTTACCAATCTTGGAATATTTTCAAAATAGTCAGGAGATAATAGCATTATTATTATTATTAAGAGAAAATTAATTAATTATTTATTTTTTATTTTTTAATATAAATACCAGAAGTTGATTGAATTGCTGCCCTCCTCCTTCTAAGATCTTTTTGATTTTCTATATAATAAGTATTTTTTAAAAGATTAGAAAAGTATTGGAAAATGAGAGAATTCTTAAAAAATGAGCGAACCTTCTTGTATAAAAGGTTTTAGAATATTTGTATTTGAGTTTATTACGGAGATCCCCTTGACCAATGAAGGAGAATAAGGGGAAGGGATATTTTGTTTTGAGATTATAAAATTTTCATTTGCTATTATATTGGTATTCATTACTACTAATATATTTATTTTTAGCAAAAAAAAAAAGTTTTCTGGGAAAATAACCCCAAATATTATTACATTAATATTAATTAATATTAGCGTTGATTTCATTGGCCAAGATCATCGTTACCATTACTAATAATAAAATTAGATTTTTCATGTATTTTAATAACTTCTTTTCTTGAATAAAAAAAAAATACTACTTTTTTGATAGTTTGTAATTACATAGTAATTCAACAAAGAGTAAAAAGCGGAAATTAATTATTAAAAAAGTAGTAATTACAAGTTTCGACTTGAGACCATACCCAAAACTTTTCGCTAGTAAATAACCTTTGACTAATATATTTTTATTATCAATTAAATTCTCTCTCTCAAAATTAACCAGTGACAATATTAATAAAAATTAATAAAATGTATTTAAAACACAATTCCTTGACGAGTTCATAAAAGACATTAACTCACAATTAAAAGGTTGCTACATAAAGTCTTGCCACAGTAGATTATATTATAAAAGATCTTTAAATGAAATTTTTTTATGTGCACTATGCATCCGTTGTGACAAGGTTTGAACAGCTTTATACAACATCATGTTCAAAAATGGTCCATTTTTGAAACCAATGAAAAATAAACATTGTTCATGACAACAAATAGAAAAGTAAGAAGAGCTGATGGTTCAATGGATCGCGACGAAACAAATGATAGACCGTTACCATCTTTACTTGCAGAAACAGAAGGAAATAAAATTATCAAAACCTATTATTGACAAAAGGATCTTGTTGTTGTACAATTATGTAAATTGAAGACACATAAAGAGAGAAAATACACAGTGAATCTCGATTTAGCGGATACTAATTAAAAATTTCGGTTTTACAGATAAAGTTCAAAGAACGGTTCATAATAAACATTAATAAAAACCTTCTTGATATAGCAGATATCTCGGTTTGATGGATTTTTGGAAAATTTTCCCTACTGGCCCAAACTTATCCATTAAACTGAGATTTACTGTGTATTCTCATTAATTTATTAATTAATATATTATTCATTATAGTATTACACTTCTTCATGTCATCATCATAATATAATTGAAAGAACTTGATTACCTTACTGATGAATATCGTGAAAAGTAGGTGAAATAATCACATCATGATATTATTGAAAGACTTTCAACTGTTAAACAAAAAACATTTATAATTGTAGATGTAGATTCCGACTTTCTCTACCTCATAATCAGGCAGGTCATACAATGTTATATTTATGATGAGGCATTTTTTATTTTATTAATTAATTTATCAATTCCAATATACCAAGGAACAGAGTCTATGTATTTGAATTTAATAAAATTATTTTTAAATGGTAAACCAAGACAATGAAGATGTAGATGATTTATAGAATTGTATGGAGGGACATGAAATCCAAATCTACAAATATATATTTTTTATTTTTATTTTATTTTTGAGATTATGAATGACTTAATGTATTGATAAATAACCTACTTTGAATTATTTTCTTTAAAACCAGATTGAATCAAAAGTTCTTTTCCGATAGAGAACATATGTTCTACTAAAATTATTACAAATCAAAGATTAGAAAATTTAGAAAATAATTGATTGAAAAAAGAGAAGAAAATTGAATAGAGAAACATTGCGTGTGTACATACATAATGATAAATCTTCTTTTTTTAAACTATTTGTATTATCTTATATATTTCAAGGATACATATAGATATATTATATATTAATAACAAAATTTCCCTCCAACTTAATAAATAACTGTTAATGAATGAAATGAAAATTTTTTACCTATATGATTTTTAGGAACTATTAAAAAATGCATTTTTGCTGCTGGTTTTATATCAAGAAATGCTATGATAACTTCATCTTCGTATAATATTCTAGAATTTTCATTTTTTAAAGTTAATATTATCTGGCAAAAAACACAATATTCAATAATATTACTATTATTAAAACAACAAAATAATTGCATGATTAATTAATTAATTGATTGGTTTTTAGAAATTTATATTAATATGGGTATTTTAAAATCCATTTATAGAAATGAGCTTCAATAAACAGTCAATTCACACCACAACTTTCTTTTTATTAATTTTCATATTGCTTAATTTTTTTTGTTTAAACCTTATACATAAGTTATTTTTTAAAATATCAAAATAATGATGCACATAATACATATTTTATACATGTTTAAAAAAAAATAGATATCTTCATAATTTGAAAGAAAAATTCGCATTTTCTCTCGCCGAGATCATGCATTATTATGATGATTAATCGGCAATGTCTTATAATAATAATCCCAATGCATCAAATGTGGCATCATTTGAAAGCATAATATCCAGCACTTTTGGAGAAGAATTTAAATCTTTCGCTATAAAGTCACTGCACCATGATTGATTCCAACTACTGTTACAATCGTTATCAATAAGATTATTATTAATAGTAATGGAAGAAGTATTGTCATAATTATTATATCCAATTGATGATGAATTGTCATCACCGTCACGGTTATAATTATAGTTGTTATTAATATTAACAGTGTTATTAATAATATTATTACTATAATCAATATTACTATTATTATAACTGTTTGAAGAAATTTCAGGGCTTGGATAAATTGATTTGATCATATTATTTGATTCATTGTCATAATTGGAAGGATAAATTACTTCCGTTGATAATGGTTGCTTATTGTAACTATTAACATAATTATAATCATAATTATTGGGTGTGTTTAGACTAAAATCGTAATCAGTCGAAGATAAATCAGGACTTGGATAAATCTCCACATCCGTAACATTTTCTCTGCCAGACGATGACAACGATGATTCGAATGTTATGGTGTTGATGGTAGCCATATCATTCGTAGAGTTTGATTCGATGGAATCTTGAGGAGTGTTTAATAAATTATCAGGGTGGAAAATAATATTGTTATTAATGAATGAAAGTGAAGGAGTGATAGTATTATTATTACTGTTGTTATTAATGTTATTAGGATTCTTCTTGTTTTTATTTTTATTTTTATTATTATTATTATTAGTTGATTTAATTGATTTAGAAGATTTTAAGTTAGATTGTTTTTTAGAGGGTTTTGAGTATGGTGTTGAAGGGATTGAAGGGGAAGGGGAACAAGGATCGAACCTTGAATCATTACTAGGTTTATTATCATCAAATGATACAATATTCCATTTTTCGCGTTTTTTGTGTTTAGAAGCTTTTGGATAATTTTGTTTGTAATAAGCGCCTGCTTCATCGGCCAAACGCTTATACTCATCCTTAACAATTTCCGGTTCTTCTTTCCAGGCCTGTGACGATATTGAAGAGATGACGGTCATTGGAAACAAACAGCCTTTAGAACGAATAGTTTCTACACAAGCCTTTCTATAAATGATAAAAGCATTAGGAGCTCTGTATGGAGCTTTACAAATGCTATTACCATCACTATCATGTTTATTGCTGTTATTATTTCTACGATCGTTTATTGTTATTAAATCCTGAAGTTTGGTCTTTGGAGGAAATTCAGGTCTGAAAAATGGAGTTGGTGTACCATTGATAACTTGATTTGGACTATTAGGATCACTTGAATCTATGAAAACACATTCTCTTTGACGTGTGATTGTTTTATTTGATTTATTTAATTTATTAATATTATTATCAGTATCAGTGTTCATGGACATTTTTCTATAGATTATATCTAGTTTTATATTTACTATATATGATTTAACAAGATTCAAGGCTCTATTCTACTGGTTAATTGAAGTAAGGCTATGGGTGAATTGTCTGAGAATAATAATGGGGGGGAAATGATGACGACTATGAAAGTAAAGAGAAAAAGAAATAAAAAGAAAGAAAGAAAGAAAAGAAAAAATACGCATGTATTTATTTGATATTTTTTTTTTTAAAAAGTCAAAATAAATTTGATTGTTTATATTTCTAATTTATAAAAATAAAAATCTAACATGCAAGTTTGATTTTCTTGGCTATTTTTATATTTTTTTTTTTTAATAATATTAACATATCTTTATAATACCGCATGATTGAGAAAAAACTTCAAAGAGAAGAAATTAAATTGATATTATCGTTGTAAATAAAGATTTATCTTTGTAACCTGTTTTTAGAAATTTGTTTGTAGCTTAATTTGGACGTATTGTGTACAACTTCATTGATTTATACAGATCATACAATGATAAATCAATTAAATGAACGTATGGCACGAATTTATTTTTGTTTCCTCTTTTCAACTGACCCAACTACACAAAAATAAGTATTGTAAATGTATGCGTTTACACACTCTCACACACGTTTCGATAGCATGCACGTCTTTTAAAATCTTGTTTTTGTTTATTTGGATTATGATCTTATAAATAATGGTAATGGCATGAATTTGTTAGTGAAATGGTAAATATAATTAAAGAACTTTTCTTGCACATGGAATTCGCGTGGAACAACAATTGGTGATTTGGTTTATTGATATTCGTTCTACCAAGCTGTTATTTATTTAAATGAAAATGTTTATCATTTATGCGTGTGTGTAAATAGATCGGCGTTCCACAAATATTTTTATAAATATATTTGTTTGTTGTTGTCTGGATGTAGCAAATGAACGAAAATTTAAAATATGTGCGTTTCTATATTTACCCTAAACATTTGAATGTTGATCATTCTAAAGATGAATAGTGCGTGGATAAATTTCTTTCTATAACATCAAATTAAAAAAAAAAACCCCTCCCGAAATCATGCACTCGCTATACCTTTTATGTTCGAAATATATCGTCAATGAAAAATAAATATGCAATTGTATATATTGTATTTATTTACTTGTAAATAAAAGATTCACCAATAAAATAATCGCAAAGCTTTTGTCAGATTAATCAAGAATGATTAATTGATTAATTTTCAGATGAACGAATTGAATTTTATTACGCTGTGACAAATAACAACAATAATAATGTTGGACTTTACAATTTATGAAAAAGAATGAATGTCATAATCATTTATAGTAATGATATGATAGATAAAATAAATGACCTGATTATATATATCTCGTCGTCGGTGTTAATGCTGATAATATTAAGTATCATTCATTATTACTTCTTTTACAAAACACTTTGTTCTTTCTAATAATGATTTACCAATTGAACAATATTGCGCGTTATTATGAAGTTCGATTTGGAGAACAAAAATATCAAAATTTTGATCGATTGATCATCGTTAATCCGCAGTTCTTATTTTTATAATGGGAAATTCTATATTAAGGAATTTATTATATTAAGTTTTTTCCACCATTTTGGAAATAAATTTAATATATAAATTATATGAATGTAGGATTTTTTATATTAAAATTGATTTTTCGCTTTTTAATTTGAATTGTTTGTTGTTTGTTTGTTTGTTTATTTATTTTTTGTGTGCGTTTTTTAAATTGTTAATTTTAAATTCTTTTTTTAAACCTTTATTTTCTAGTTTCCGTGTATTTTGTATTACCATATTTTTTTTCCAAAGAGGAAAAACCCAATTCTTTTGAAAAATTAAAGACGATAATCTGTTAAGCATGACTTGCTTTTTAAAAGATAAAAATGTAAAATAAATAAGTAACTCGGTACCACTTTGTTCTTAATAAAACTTCCTTTAATAATTATCGTGTAGCTCTTAATATAATAAATGCAAGAAGTGTTATAGAATTATTTCTTTACACCAAACACAAAAACATCACAACGCAACAGCAACAGTAAATAGATTGGCTTAATTTGCAAAATAAAATAATAGTTTTCTCCAATGACAATTTTCAAAATACATATAATTTTATCCTTGAACGATTCTCTTTTGTTCAATCAATTTCATTTCACACTGATAAGTCATTCCATCATTTCTTCTAGCCCAATGGTCAGCTGTAGGATTAATATTATAAACTGATTTGATATCTTTACGTTCTTCACGCTTCTTGCTTGTTGAAATATTGAATCTTTCGTCACGATCGTCAAGTGCTGCTTGCGAAAGTTGAAAATCTTCAGTAAATGACATCATAAGTTGTGGTGGTCCTGTATTAAGCAATTATAATATTATAATGTTAGTAGAAAAATAAGATATTAAATATATAAATAAGGAAAAATAATATTCTCTAACCAAATGGTAAAGGATCTCCGCGGTCAACTTGCCAAAAATGCCAAGTCTATAAATTTTTATATAGTCAAAAGAAATAGCCATGCAACAAATAATAACAACACACGATGATAATAACAATTAATAATAATAAAGAAATTACTTTGCCATAAGTGTCGACTAACCCATTCAGCAGTGTTATTTCTGCCTGTTTTTCTACTGCACCAGGAATTGGTGCGATCACGGGGCAAATTAACATCCCCGACTTGACTTCGTAAACATGAGAATGCCAGTAAATCTTTTCTTCTTCGGGAAGTGCTTTTTGTAGATGGGGTGGGGAAACAACAACAACAACAACAATTATTATTATCATATAAATATAAATATAAATATAAACATATAAACATATAAACACACATCTGATTAATTATATAAGTACTTTGGAAGAGTTTAGCCGAGATAATGTATTCGACACCGATCAATTTAGCATCAGGTTCATTGGAATCGTAGATAATACATTGTCGTACGTCTTGATTAATATGACTACAATAATGATGTGCTTCAACTTGTCGTGTCATATCATGACTAAATAAAATTGGAAGGAGGTTAAAAATAAATATGTTGTTGGTTAATTAATTAATTAATTAATTAATTAATTAATTAATTAATGAACAATTACCTATAGAAATGAAATCCACAGACGTGTTCCTTGATTTGGTTTATAGGATCGAAATTTTGTATCGTTAATGCCGCGGATTCGGCCGCCTGCGATTTAATAGACATTTTTTCTCCAGGTGGTCCTGGATGCTTCATTATCGTAATTATCATTTGTAATAATGCAACGTTAAACGTGATGAAATAAAACGAAGTGAATTTATCATCATCAAATTATAAAATAACAAAACAATCTAAAATTAAAAAAAAAACAAATAAATAAAATACAGGAGGATTTGCTTTTGTTTCACCCATTTTTTCGTTTCAATAATTTTTATTTTCGTTAAAAAAAAAAATCCTTTTTGAAAGCCACCTTTTTATTTCATCTATTTTATTCTAATGATATCATCTTTACAAAATTTTAACTAATGCGAGAACAAAAAACAATACGTAAAGATTAAATCATTAATTGACGGACGATCAGTGAATTATTAGTGATCGGCGGAGGAAGTGACTAATTGAGTATCATATTTGCGTAAAAAAAAAGTATATATTAATATTAATATACCTTTTTTTTTAAGTGCGGAAAAATTTCAATTTATATTTGAACTGGTATGCAAGAGAACATATAAAAAAAAAGTTGATGCTATTATAATAATTAACTTGATTTCCCACATAAATGGCTAAATAAAAATTTTCCTTTCTCATACTGGCTTGTAAACAAATTTCTTCTTAATTGCAAAAATACGATACTAGATATATAACTAATTGTATCTATATCTGATTAATATAAAATTTCGAGAAAAAAATGCCAAAAAATCTTACTAAATAAATTTTATCAATGCAAATTTTTTTGTGCAGGATATATTGGAGATATATTTGCTGTACAAATATGTGATATATATTTAAATAATTTTAAAAGCAATAAATAAAAATATCAACTTAATATTACTATTATTATTATTATTTGGTAAAAGTGAATTTATCTGCTGAAATCTTTGACAAATTCCCCAGTGTTGAAGTCTTGATTTTGGTTGATTTTGTGTATCTCCCTGAATTATTTGTTAAATATGAAACATGATGACTAATGATTGGTGAATTAATAGTATTTGATAAATCTAATCTATTTGAGATGTTTTGATGTCTATTATAAAGGATATTTTTTGAAATATAAAACTGATGGAGTACTTTTTGGTTGTGTAGTGAAGAACATAAATTATCATAATCTAAGGTAGAAAATTTTAAATTTACAATTGATTTATTATTTAATTATTCAATAAATTAACTTTTTGTAGACTCAGATTGAAATCTTCATTATTATCATCTCTAATATTTAAGCTTGAAAAACTTCCATAATTTCATCTTCCTTTTGAAAAGATTCTTCTTTATCAGTGTTGTCAGCGGACGCGAACACGGACACGGACTGTCCGTGTCCGTCACTTTAAATGTCCCGGACCATTCTTGGACAAAAATATAAATTTTTGCCTACTTTCTTAAAGCTTTGGTGAATCTGTAAACACTTTATGGTACAATTAACAAAGCAATAAAGCTCCTGTAGAGTTCCT